GATGCAATATTCTTCACTTGCTGTTCTAAACTACCGCATAGTGTTGCTGTATGCTGTTAAGTAATTGACATGCTTCACCCCAGAGATAGTTACATTTCAGTGACAGAATGATCAGTGGGCATTACCTAATGCTTCAGAGGAAAGTGAATTACCCTCATAATGGACCTATCCAATTATGCATGCTGTATTATAATCATGATCATCATACTTAGCCCTTATGTAGTACTTTATATCTACTAAGTGCCTTACAAATGGGGAGAGGATGGAATTCCCTCCTGATCTCTCCAGTGATCAGTTTATGCCCTGAAGAATGAGATTTGGTTATCTTACCTTGAAATAAGCTACAGACCAATGGTAACTTCAGTCAGGAGTCAGGACATGGGTTAAAACACTGAGCAAATTGATGAGCATTGGCCTGCTAAACCCAGGGTTGTGAGTTCAATCCTTGAGGGGGCCATTTAGGGATCTGGGGCAAAATCAGTACTTGGTCCTGCTAGTGAAGGCAGGGGGCTGGACTCAATGACTTTTTAGGGTCCCTTCCAGCTCTATGAGATAGGTAAATCTCCATATATTATTATTTTTATATCATTACCATATTACCATATCTCCTTGTAGCCATAGTTATGGACCATGACTCTGCCATGCTAGATGCTGTACATACAAAGAACAAAACATGGTCCATGCCCCAAAGAGTTTACAATGTAAGTATGAGCCAACAGGTAACAGATGACAGACAGGGGAATACAAGGAAACAGTGAGACAATAAATTAGGCAGAGTTCCTGCTAGTGATGAGTTCAATGCACAACATTTTGACTTGCAGCCAGACTTCAAAAACCCTAGAGTTCGAGGGTGTTTAGAGTTGGGATTTTGGATCAGCTTATTATAAACAGAAAGGCCTTTCGTAAATAGTGGATCTGGATTCGGACTTCAAACATTCACAGAGTTTGGTGGGTTTGGGTTTTGGTGCGAGCCCATCTTTGATTTTTTCCTCTTTAATAAGGAACTTTATCCTGAGAGAGCAGAATGAATTTTAATGTCGCGTGGGCCAAACATAATCAGCTGTATAAGGGATTTGGGGACTGAGGTATAGGCCAGTGGAAGGGGCTGTTAGTATTAGCTTACGAACTACCGGTCGGTGAAGGAAGTGAGCTGATTCTATTGCATTTTGTAATGTTAAATAATCGGCAGGTGCTCAGAGCCTGGCCTGTGCACTTTTTATTATTCTAAATCAAAAGAAAATAAATAATTAAACAAATAACTTCCTGATACTGAGGATATTGAAACCAGGAATTCAAAGATTGGGGAGTGTTTGCTGGCTACTTGGTACTTCCGCAAAGTCTGACAAACAATTGGAGTCTGTGTGTGAACAAAAGGGATGCACTTCAGGTCTGTGAGTAAAGGGAATGATGCAATGTACCTCTGTGCCCATGCAGCACTGAAGGACCCTCAAAGATGGACTTTCATGGCACACAAGCCTCGTTCTGGGTCGCTGCACACAGGGAGTTGCACCTAGGTCTGTATTTATTGGTTTGATGGGGGAACGTAAATGATTCTAGGGGAACAACTGCTGAGCCAGCCCGCTGCAAGCTAAACCTGTGATGTGCGCAAATTCTGCCTACATTGCTAGACATCTGGGAACCTTTTGCAGAGCACATCCTGGGACCCAATCCTTCTCCCATTGAAATCAATGGGAATTTTCCTAATGTCTTCAGATGGAAGCAGAATCAGCCCCATAACTAACTTCCCAGAGGAGACTGAGAACTGATTTCTCTGTTCTCCTTGAAGTGTCATTCTGGGTGTTGGCATCTTGGCAAGACTACAGTGTGCGAGTGCATTGGATTGTCACAGACAGCCTATCAGGCTTGGGGAAGTTGGGGTTCTGGGTGCAGCTCTCACTCACCCAACTGAGCTAGCAGTGTCTGATGGAGGGCCGGTTAGCACGGAGCTGATACGATTAATTAAATGTATTGCGTATGAGGTTGTTTCCACAGCACTACAGGCTGTACAAAGCGGAACAGGTCATGCAGATCTCAGGTGATTTCAGGAGCAACGGTAGACACACAGGTCAGGGATCGCCATCCACGAACCCAGACAAATTCTGTTCATGGTAGGGAACCTTGGCGTAGTCAGTGTGGTCCAGAGATCAGTGGCACCACGCATGTGGCACAGCTATGAGAAAAGTTTTCATGAATTCATACAAGTTCAGGAGCAGGAAGGCCAGTCGGCAATGTGGCCCATTACAGAGGAACAGGTGCTGCAGTAGATGCTGTCATTGGCAACCCATCCACTGGCGTCCTCCACAATCTCCAATCGCCTTTCGGCCATTACATTTGTCAGTAGGCTCAATGGCTACCTAGATCCGTGCGGAGTTGGACGTTTTTTGGCGGGATGGTCACGTAGCGGTGGACCCAGGGAGGATTCCCGTCGTCCCATCAGGGTTTCCGCGCTCAGGGACCTCCTTCACATCCTCGGTGTCATGTGTCATAGCGCAAAGGAGGTGTCCCTATTCAGGGCAGGATTCTTGACAGCATTTTTTGGTGCTTTCAGGATCAGTGAGCTAGTGCCTGGGTCCATCAGGGATTCTTCGGGAAAGGCTTTGGAATTTCATAAGCGGCCACAAGCATGCAGTGATATTCCACTTGCGAAGGTCAAAGACTGATCAAGTCGGCCAGGGTGCATTCGTTACCCTATAGGAGGGTGGCAAGCCTGGGGTCTGCCCCGTTCGGGCGTTGAGGGCCTACATGGCAATATGGTGGAAGGGAGAAGCCCCCCTTTTTGTACATGGAGACCGGAGTCCCCTCATGGCATATCAATTGATTACCATGTTGAGATGGGGGCTAACGCGGTTGGGGCTGCCAGCCCATGAATTTGGTTCCCACTCATTCAGAATAGGGGCGGCTACGGCAGCAGCGCAGATAGGTATGGAAGCAGAGGCTATTCAGGCAATCGGGCGCTGGCAGTCTAATGCATACCGAACGTATGTGAGACCACAGGTGGAAAATCAACATTAATTGGTTGTGTTCTCATTTCAGATATGGGACAGCCGGCTACGCACACGAGGGTGTGGATCTGTGGGCACAGTATTGTGTTTTGGGTGCATAGGCACGCATCCAGGTTGCCCGAGGGCTCCCAGCTGGGATTCGGTGGCGAAGCATTACTCAGTTGGCACGCACGGAGGGGCATGTTATGGGATCAACTGATACCGCTGTTGTATGATGTGAGGGCCCGGCAGCGGCCACCAGATATATTGGTGATACACCTGGGAGAAAATGATCTGGGAACACTTAAAGGGGTGGAGTTAATGCTTCGAACTAGGAGGGACCTGATGGAGATCCTGGCAATTTTTCCGGGCGTTAACATTGTGTGGTCGGATATGCTTCAGCACAGGGTCTGGCATGGAGCCATGAACCCCGCTAGGGTGGACAAAACCAGGAAGTATGTGAACAGGGAAGTTGCCAAATTCTTGTTGCCCTTGGGGAGGACAGTAACTTCACATCCTAGCATATTCTATGGGGCACCGGAGTTATTTCAGGAGGATGGCATGCACCTGTCAGACTCAGGTGCTGCCATATTTTTGGCTGATATAAAAGAGGGCATTGGGAGATGTCTGAGAACCCGGCTGGGTGTGGGGAGGAGGCAGCCAAGCTAATGGTTGGTGCCTCCTTGTGGCGGATGTTCCGTGCAGGTACTCCATAAATTAAGGCACAAAAGAACGGAAAAATGGCTTGGAAAAGGAATTAAGGAGAGGTGCTTGGTAACTGAGCGAGTTGGGGACTCCTATGATTGGTATAGCAAGGAGCCAACCCCCCCATCATTATAGTCCACCTTAACCCCTCCTACCAGGGGGCGTGGTCGGTAAGGTCCCGGCAAGGAAATTGCTGGAGGGACCTGGATAAATGGGGGGGGGCAGCTGTGAAAGCACACCTCCCCCCCCCAAAAAAATTGGCTGGAATTGGAGGGTCCCGGCAGTGGATCTGCTGGAGGGACATAAATTTTGCACCTGCACTGCACATTTTATCCGCCAGGTTAGTCCCAGACATCTATCTAATAATAAAGTTGTGGCCTGATTAAACTTAATGTCTCCTGTCATTCTTTCACCATAGCCAGACAGTCAGCCCCGTAACTCACTTTCCAGAGGAGACTGAGAACTGATTTCTCTGTTCTCCTTGAAGTGTCATTCTGGGTGTTGGCATCTTAGCAAGACTACAGTGTCTTCTAATACAATAGTCTGGGTTTATTTTTAGTCAAGTGGTTGTAAATAGGATTGCCCTTTATTTGCAATTATATTGATTTGTCTGAGTGCTACCTCTCCACTTGTATGATTAATTTTCCTCTATTCATGTGGTTTTACTTTCTAGGTTTTTATCTTGTTTATTTTTGTGCTGTTAACTTTGCTCCCGGGCCCCTCGAGTGCTGTGGCATTTAGGTTCCACTGAAGTCAAAACAAATCTTGTTGTGATTTATTATTACATCACATTTCTGAGCCTGTTTCCAGTCTTGGAATGAAAAAATAATAATTTCCAGTAAAATACATGAAGTGGTTTGCTGGAGAGCTCTAGGCTTCGGTCTTTATCGGATTTGACATGTTGTTTTGTTAGGGTTCTCCTTAACGTTTGTATTGTAGATGCCTTGCAGTAAGCACCTTCTGAGTGGATTAAATAAATAAGTGAAAAGATTATTGCCTCCTGAAAGCCCTTCACTGAAGTGCTGAAGCGTAAAGTGACCTCTGGAGCAATTAGCAGACCTGTAGTTTGAGCAGAGGATGGGATGACAATTTCCACATGCTGTACATAGATGGAGAGCTTGTTATTTGCACTATTCCGCCTATTGGAGGATGCCACTATTGTTCCTGACATTGCTGACCATGACCTGTTGCCGGTTCTCTGAGAGCAATCCCCTGCCTCTCCAGCAGCCCCAGATAAGTGTTATGATGTATTGCTAGATGGACAGGGTTTGCAGTGCCTCATGGTCCTGTTGATACAAAATGCCTTTAAGATCCTGCCTTTCCCATCCTAATCTACAAAGGAAACAGGAAAAAGGAACTTAAACTCCCTGTACTCAGACAGCAATGAGACTGTTATAGCCCACTCCAGCACTGCAATTTCTTGCCTCTGACTTGTAAACAAGAGTCCTCGTACCATGCAAGGGAAGAGTAACCAAGGTCTACCCCATTGAAAGGATAATCCTAACCCCATGAGCTGCTGTGGAAACTGGATGGAGGTATTTTGGAAAGCATGGACTCTTTAGCACATTTAATTCTCTGTGGATTCAGCCTGATGATTTCAGGTAAGACTTTGCGTTAGTTACTGAGCTAGCATTGTCGAGGTGCCGTGGCTTTACTGTTTCTCATGCAGTGTACAGATAAAAGGGTCTGATCCTAAAATCCAAACTCCGCTGAGGTATCCCTACTAGCATAATTCTCACATTGACTTCAGTGGGATTATTTGCATAAGTAAGGATCTCTCCCGTTGGGTGATTCTTTGTCAGAGGCTTGCTGAATGCATTTGGGATCTGTAGCTAAATCCTTTTTAATCTAGCTGCTGTTTGTTCACACTTACAAACGCTACAGTGTGGATTTCTCTGCTGAGCCAGTTAACTTTTTCTCTGAGCCAGTTGTTTGGAAATGATCACCACATGTTTTTTTGTAAAATGTGTTGTAAAAGTTGACTCTTACTGTCCACCTCACAAAGACAGAGGTGAAACACAAGCTAACCGATAAAAATCTGATATGTGTTCTATCTAGTATTTATTTTTAGCTAGTCTCTTTCAGCTGCTGAGTCTAGACACTAATGGGACACTGAAGCTTGAATAATATGCATTAAATACAACGGATTGGTTCATTGCAAATACTGTTTAAAAACAAGTCTGAATCAGCAATATTATTACCAGACATCATTTGCTTGTCTAAATAGTACTAATTCTAAGGTACGGATTTCCCATAACTGGCAAATGTATATTTATGATTTTATTAATGCAAAGTTTATTTCATAGCATTAAGAGCCTTAAGGGTCAGAGATGCTTTACTCAAATACTCATTGTTCTGAGTATTATCTTCTTTCCATGTGGTTCTCTCTCAGCATTGAGGTATATGCTCACACCACTAGTGTCTCCATCTGACCTGTTTCTAGGCAATCTCCTCAGTGTAAGATACAAAGCATAAACCTGATAAACCTAGAGATGGGCCTCCAACCAGCACCCCAGATTTTTATTCATCCCTGAAAGTGTTGCTTCAGATCTAATTTTTCTGGCTCCAGGCCATCTCTAGATAAAATGTAATCTGCTACATAGCTGCAGACTGTATAGTAAGAGACAGATGGTAGTAACAAAAGAAAACAGAATTTTTCACTGCAGTATAACTTGTTCTACAATCTCTTGATCTTTATGGGTCACAAAAATGTTAAGAAGTACGATGAATGGTCAACAAAAAGGTTTGGGGTTTTGAGGGTTTTTTTAGTATCTGGAAAGGTCTGTGGCTATATGCAGGCCAAAAAGTTTACATAAAATGTGGTGAGTGTGTGTATATTTATATATAATTATTGCTGCATTAGGTTGTATAGTGTGTATTCCTCTGTTGTGGTGTGGGTTGCTTGCTTGTTGTAGATGTATAGCAATGCATCCTATTTAACTCTCAGATCAGTACTGACTTTTCACTTTAGAGGCAGATAGGCTATGCACTGAGTGTTACATTCAGAAGATAAAAAAGAGAGCTTTGTTAACTTGAACTGAATGGGACAACACTACACCCCTTTCTCAGAGTCAAATCTCCCCTGTCTCGCTTACTTAAAGCTAGCTCATCCTGTATACCTGATTGCTACAGGAAGCAAGTAAAATCCATGAAGTCATATGTATGTGTGAGAAACAAAAGCAAGCTTCACAGATTAGCAATAAACATAGACAGTGTGCTCGTTTGAGTTCGGCATTGAAGAGCTGCCAGTCACAGCCCTTTCCACAGGACTTGACCAGTTAGGTGTGTATTGTAGTCACACCCATCTCAATAGATCTGTCAGCTTTCCCGCTTTTGTTCAAGTGTGATATCATGTTTCCTGGGGCGAGCGGTGGAAGACAATGCTAACCCCCTTTCCTCTAGATATAACAGGCGGAGTTCAGGAAAGCAGTATTGACATTCCCTGAGCAGGGGAGACATTAAAGTCAATGCAATTGGCAGACTGTGAACTGACTTAACCTTGTCCCAGATAGTTTTGGGCTTTTGAGGGCGTGCTGCTGGGTAGGCAAAAATGTACTCCACCCTTGTTCCAAGGTGGGGACCATCCCTCTGGGCTTGACTCCTGGTTACATTAAATGCCCTGTAATTTCCTTTACTTCATCATCATCCACAGCCAAAAGACTTGATTCCCAAAGATGCTGTTGAAGTGAGATATAATATAATTAATGCCTCTCTCCAACAGTACACAATCCAAAGTACATCTCCATTGTACTGACAAAAGGGACAGGTTTAATGCTAGTGATAAACCTGAAACAAAACCAGGAATGTGAAGACTCTTACCTTCTGTGGAGGTTCTGTTCTACACTTTGCATGTGGCCCTTAGCATCATGATGGGCTGAACCAAAGCCCTGGATCCCCACCCCCCTCCTTCCCCGACATTTATGGAAGTTTGGATTCAATTCCCAACTTCATGGCTTGAGCCCCTCTCAGTTTCATTCAGAATGGGAACAGTTTTCAGTGCTCTCATATTCACTTTAAAGGACCAAGCAGGGATGTTATTAGGAATAAACATTATAACTTGTCCTTGGCCTGTTAGCAGGATTCTGAACCAGACTGGGAACCAATTTATAGTCTCTCACACTGGGCTTCAGCAATGTTAGTGTCTGAGCCTCATTTTAACAGCCGTGAGCCTGGAAAAGTCAACAGCAATTAAAAACATGTTCTAATACATTTTGCCAACTATTGTAGGTGGGAAGCTTATGAATTTTCAGACTACTAGGATGAGCAACATTGGTGAAGTTTTGCTTCCTACCAAGCATGAGACAATCCAGAGGGTTCCTAAAACTTAGGGATGGGAGAACCCAGTGGGTTCCTAAAACTACTAGAGTTATTTTTTCTTATTTTATTTCAATCCATATATGGTAAAAGGTGACCTTCAAAGGCTTGCAGCAAAAGCATCTTTACAGCATAACTATAATTCAGAGTGTGTGTGTGTGTGTGTAAAGCTAAACAACTATAATCAAAACATCAAAACTATATTACAAACAATACTGTACCAGAGGTTCTTCAGAATGAGGCATAATGAAATTAAAGGAAATGAAAAGACAAATGAGTGCTCTTTCTCATCACATTTTTTTAGTTGCACCTCTAAATTTTGAAAAAAGTTCTAACCTGGAATATCTGCTAAAGGAGAAACAGGGCCAGGGTTTCTGGTCCCTCCTCCCCGGGAGTGGGAGAGTTATGGTGTCTAACAATTCTTTCTGTCTGCAGCACTTGGATTAGTTACAGCAGGTGGTGGCACAGTGTCCTGGTATTTTTCTAGTGGCTCCAGCAGTTTCTGCAAAATTTAAACTCTTTGTCAAAGTCTGCAAAATTTAAACTCTTTTCAAAGCTAATCCAGAAGTTATGGGCTTGATGCAGAAGTCATGGGGTGAAATGCTCTGACCACCTAGAAAGCAGTAATTTTATATGGCAGGTCAATCTAGATGATCATAATGGTCTCTTTTGGCTGTAAAATCTATGGGTTTGGGTTTTTTATTAGCTTTCTAGGTATATGTGTGCAAAGAAAACCTTGCAAATGTGATGTAATGCACAACCTAAGGGGTTGCAAAGGTGGCTCTGTGTCACCTTGGTAGCTATACAGTGCTGCTATGTGTCTGCGGTTGGCGTAAGTTAGAGTAGGGCTATTCTAATAAGAGGAGTTCCAGCAGCTGGGAATAGCTAGAGCATGGGGCCAGGCCTGAACCCATCAAATTCATAAGAGTGAAGTGAAATCCCACGATAATCCGAATGAGATAGACATATTGTGTCCTGAGTAGAGCTAGTCAGAACACTGTCACTGAACTTACATTTTGGTTAAAAAAATGCTGATTCGTCAAAGCTGAAACGTTTTGGAGGGATGGATCAGTTGCCATGAAACTTTCATCAGGAAAGTTTTGGGCCAAAGAAAGAGAGAGAGACTGACTACAGCTTCATGGTTAGGGCCTGGGACTGGGATGTGGAATACTCAACTTCCTCCTCTGATTCATAGTGATGAAAAACTCTGCTCTGAATCAAGTAGAACAGGGACTTGAATTTGGGTCTCCCCGGCCCGTGCCCTAACCACACACAAAAGAATTTCATTGTGATTCATTGTGATTACAATGAAGCTCACTGGAAAGTGACAGGCTGGAGTGCAGGATCTGTGATGAAGCAGTTAAAACACATGTAACTTTTAAAAGATACATGTATGATATCCATCCTCCAGTTAAGTCTGATAAATCTGTCCCACACTCAGCAAATACATTAACATTTGCAAGATAAGGGTCAAATACAGAGAAAAGAGCCAGCTCGCCGCAAAGGGCTGTATAATTCACCAACGTATTTGAAAATCTGTTTTTTCATTATCCAGTCAGCTCTAGTTAATAACAAAACCGTACATTTTAAAGACTGAAATAATTTCAACCATGGGTTTTAATTTCACCATTTATGCTGTTTGTTTACTTTTTGCATTTTATTCAGCCTGGAGGGTGAAATTACACTGGGTCAATTTCACTTTCAGTTTCCAGCAAGTGTCTCTCTCTGGTTCTCATGTGCCAGCACAATGCTATTGTGTTTGCCTTTCTGACAATGCAAAACAGTGTTTGCATCTGAAACAACTGTTTTCCTAGGCTTTTCTCTTTTCGTGTTGTGAAAACATTTGTATTCTCTCTAGGTTTTGTACTCCCACCCTTTATTTTTAGAAAACTGAAATGTGGGACCTGAATCTCAATTTATACCAGTGTTTCTTTGAAAATCAATTTAGATTAGCTTTTCCATCAGTTTAAGAGATTACACAGATGACCAATAAAATAGACTAAAGTATATAGGAAGCCAAGGGATTGATTATGTCAGTTTTATACCATGATAATAACTGGATTAGCTTTATGGGAGCTACTCCTGAATTACACCAGAGCAAATGAGATGAGAATCAGACCCACTATGTACAAGTGACACATCATTCACCTTAACTTGCTTCATCGCTGGTTTCAAAATGAGACTGTCAGCAACGGCAAAGTGCTGATCCACTTTTCACCACAAAGCAAATACTGTTTAATGGTTCAGGCTCCCACCCAAATCCCTCCCTTACTATTGGTAGAAGAAC